TCATGATGAATATGTAAAGTGGCTTACTGAAGAAAGAAAACAACATGGAAACAACTGGAACTTCAAGTACATCCAACCATTCACACATGGCCACAACATTGGTACACTTCAACTTGCTCGCATCAATGGAGAAGAATATCTTGGAATGGGCTGGTGTAAAGTGCATCGATATGGCGAGAATGAGTGGATGGGCAACAAGTGGGAAAATCCGCCATGGATAGTCGAATTGTCAAAAAGATTCAATGCAGCGCTACGCCACTCCGTGGGTTGCGCCAGAGACAGTCGAAATCACCGTGGACTACCATGCGACGAGGCAGGTTGGGTCAATGTTGAGTCGATCTTGAAGTACGATGCCATTTGGAAAGACCAACATACTTTGGCTGGAACGACCTACGTCAACTACCCGATACTTGTTGAGAGGTGGAACAACTTCCAGAGAGTGATCTTCACTGAGTACAAGCAAACGAAGAGAATCCGAGCACAAGTGCTAGGACTCAAGGTCACGAAAGGTGAGTTGGAACACATCATGAACAACTTCAATGATGGATTGACCTCCAGACTTGATCGACAAACACTGAGGTTGGAGATCGGCACAGCAGATCGAGAGATTTGGCTTTGGCCGGTGGCAATCCGTGCCCCTATGGCGCATTCAAGAGTTCAAGGCGGTGTGCACATCGAAGACAAGAAGACTTCCTATCAGATGAACCCTGGAGTAGGATACACTCTTGGAGGAGGATTTCATTGCACCACATTTGACAACATTGCTCAAATCTTCAGAGAAGGACTACGTCCCGGAGGAGGAGGTGACCGCATCAATACGTTCTTCGTGCCATTCGCGCCGTGGGATGTGAGAAGTCAAATGGTGCTGAGATTCAGGAAGATTGATCAAACTGATCTTGTCTACATCTACATCACGTACGATTCCATCGCCAAGTTCTCCCCTCGATTATCAGGAGACGGACACATTTTGGTCCAAGAGACAATTCCATTCGAATCATTCGATGCAGTTTGGTATTACGACTGGAGAGAAAAGGACTACTACCGTCTCATGATCACGAAGGGAAGAGATCAACTTGTTCTTTCTGTGCAAGGTGCAAAGAGGGTGGCCACCATTGAACGATTTGACAAGCTCATTGGAAACATTGTGCCTGAAGAATCATCACCCGATCTAGACGAACTTCGAAAACTTGTCGATATCAGGACCGGTCACTTCAGTCATACTCACAGATTGTTCCCTGGACATCCGGATTGGAATGATGCAATTTCCTTATTGGCAGTCACTCATCACCCTAGCAAAGAGGACCATCGACTATGCCCCGCATGTCTGATGGAGACCCCTGCGCCATTATCGATTTGTGTGATGTGCAAAGGATTTTTGATGAGTCATGGATGGAGGAAACGAATCAAGATCACCGTGGCTACAGTACCAAGTGCCGAATCGCATCATCGAGAAGAAGATCTCAAAGACCATGTCAAGAAAGCATGGGAAGAGGTGAAGATCGATTTGACAGGTGATGATGATGACGACGAGGTGATGCCAGATGATGATGATGTCACCATGAAGAGTCCAGAGCAAGAAATTCAACCAGAAGAAGGAGATGATGATCAAGCCTCGAAGAAGGGCGACATCAATGATGAGAAAAGAGACTTCAGAGAACAAGATGAGGTCGACAAATTTCTCAATCAAGAAGGAAAACCGACCGATGAGAACGATGATGAAGAGATAGCGGTCGATGAAATCAACATTGAAGAGTACGAGGCTGGAGAAGCTCGTGATGCAGTGATTGAGTACCCCAAGTGGATGCAGCGGATTGAGTTTGGATCAAAGGTCCTGCCGATCGAACCTTGCACAATTGGAGATGCTCAGCCAGAATTCATCAAGATCCTGTTGCAGATTGTATTACATATCGTCAGGATCTACAGACTATTCCAACGGAACTTCTGTGGAGACATCGAGACGGCATGGAAACATTTTCAACAGAACCAGAAATTCAGGATGGACCTGGACTCAAGAACACCTTACCTGGGCAAGGATGAAAATGGTGAACTCATTGAACCAACTGCACAACAGATGAAAGAGCTCTACAAAGAGATCGGCCGACCAAATCAAAAGGACGACATCGGAGAAGAGGGATTCGTCAATGCATACTATGGAGCAGTGGTACTCAAAAGACTTCTCATATATACCCTTGAATGTGGCAACACGTATGATGACTTGCAAAACATATTCTTTGATGAGGAGATGGAGAAGCTGTCGAAACGTGACACCACAATGGATGAGATGAGAAAGACCACAGCGGCCCGCGACGCCCTCGACCGACAAGACGTCATGGTCAGAAGAATCATTGCAGGCGCATATAGGGTAAATGCTGTTTATTTCTTCAGGAACGTTGACTTTCAAGACACAATCACACTGAATCCAGTTGACATTGTGTGTGCTCTTCGTCCACCACTTCGAAGAATATCACTTTTACACCTGATCCTTCAGAATGGCCGACAATTGCCGCGACCTCTACTCCAAAAGCTATATGATGCGATCAATGACTACAATCACATCAAGCAACGGGAAGATCAACGACCAAGGTGGGGCATCCACTTGTCTGAAGCTCACATACTTGCGATTGCTGATACCCCGACTCCTGCTGATCGTGAACGTACCAATCCAGCCGCTGGCAAATCGAAAGCAGCCCCAAAAGCTGCACCAGCACTGGGAAGAGTGTCGAAAGCGAAAGCATCATCGTCAGCGACATGGAGAACAGTTGAAACCGCTCCTCCGCCAAAACAAGCTCCAGTGACCCCGCCAAAGAAGGGTGGAAAAGACCAAGGAAAAGGTGGAAAATCTTATTCACACCGTGGCGGAGACTGGAACCAACAGGGATACTATGGATGGGGATATAGATGATTAAGCGATCTGACCTCTGCATAGGTCCTGATTGAACCTGGCGATGCGAGGATGCAATCATTGCTCGAGATTTACCTCTACTTCATTTTGAATGATTTCTGAGAGGACTCTGAGCCGGCTAATTTAAAACCACATTTTTTTGAACATCATTGCACGATACGCTGAGTTTCTACAGCGGTCTACGTCTCAACCGACGAAGGAACGGGAAGGTAAACTTCTAGTTCCATAGTCATCTTTGTGTTTTGATTTTTTAATTCACATGCTTGAGTGGGACTCCATGCTGGCTACGCCACATCGGATGAACCTCAATGCTTGACACCGACTACGTCGTGTCGACATGCACGTGAATAGAACCTTTATCTTTTGGTAGAGATCGTAGCAAGTCGCCATGTAGATTTGAAGTTCTGAACGGACTTTAGCTCTCCATAATTCAACAAATGAACAGCTGCAGACGAAGTGGATCAATTTAAGGGACACTCCTTTGCGCGTGGCCAACAAAGTTGGCCATGCGTGGGGGGTGCGAATGGAGTGTAGGCTACGGATCACTGCACACTCCCATATAATTCAACTCTTAATTGTCCACCGCCAAGGGGTGCATCAATTTGCTCCTTTGGCTCAAGATTACTGCAGGTGCCAAGAGAAAAACGCCGCCATGCTGAAACTGCAATTCCCGTGTCGTCGTTGTTGAGAACATCAACCTCAAGATCAAACAACAGCACATAATCGGGGAGATAACCTCCGATTCACAGTCTACCTATCTACCTATCTACCTATCTACCTATCTATCTATCTATCTATCTATTTATCTATCTATCTTTTCCTATCTATCTATCCATCCATCTGTCTGTCTATCTATCTATCTATCTACCTATCTATCTATCTATCTATCTTTTCCTATCTGTCTATCTATCTATCTATCTATCTATCCATCCATCCATCTATCTATCTATCTATCTACCTATCTCTCTATCTATCCATCCGTCCATCTGTCCATCTATCCATCTATCCATCTATCTATCTATCTATCTATCTATCTATCTTTTCCTATCTATCTATCTGTCTATCTATCTATCTATCTATCTGTCTATCTGTCTATCTGTCTATCTGTCTATCTGTCTATCTGTCTATCTGTCTATCTGTCTATCTATCTATCTATCTACCTATCTATCTATCTGTCTAGGGAAAAGGCGTCTTTGCAGATCATCTTCAAATGTCCCATGCCTGCGATCTTTTGTCGAAATGCTGCAAAACCCTCATGTTTTGCTCACTTTTGACAAGATCCACAATCTCGTGCGCCTGCCACGCGAAACGACATCTGAGCCTCCAAAAGTGGTCCGAACCCCTAGACCCCTAGTGCTTTTAACATTTTGACTTCAAAATGCGCTTCGCGCCACAACGGCGTGCACTTTTTCGACATCTCAACTTCCAAAAGTCGTCCGACACTGAGGTGTTTTGCACATTTTGACTTCCAAATGTGCTTCGCGCCTCAACGGCGTGCACTTTTTCGACATCTCAACTTCCAAAAGTGGTCCGAAGCTGGTGTGTTTTGTGAATTTTGACTTCAAAATGTGCTTCGCGCCACAACGGCGTGCACTTTTTCATCTCTCATCTGGCCAGCCAGCTCCGCACCCGCCGCTTTAGCGAGCCTACTTTTCGACCCTCCTTAGCCACAATCATTGGAAAAACACAGTGAATCGCGACTTTCCTACCTTTTCGCGCATCTGCATCTTTTTTCTTCTGACTCTTTCTCTTCTGATCTTCTCTCTTCTAATCTTTCTCTTCTCTCTGCCTCTGCCCTGCTCTGCTTTTCATCTGTCCATATTGTCGGAAGTTTGACTTCTAAACTTCCTTCGACAATCATATCTAGTCTGGAAACGATGGTTGGTTGATCGGAAGTTGTTGGCTTGTACTTGTACTTGCATATGCCAACTGATTTGATCAAGATTGTTATTCAAGATGGGAATCCGCGTCAGCCAAACAGGAGAAAGGATGACAAAGAGCTTTGGACATTGCTCATTGTCATTGGCTTGCAGCTCATGTAAGCCCGGATGCCATTGCAACATATTGCAACCCAAACAGGGGCACAAGCTGGTACCAAATGTGGCGCTTACTCAACTTGATCCATGGTCCAAAACTGTTGGGATTGGGATATCCATGTCCCCAAGGCCCATTTGCTGAGTGGGCACAGGCCCTTGGCCACTTGGCTTGGCGGCAACAACATTCATGGTATTTCCAGTCACCACCATTGGATCTGCCAGTGATTCATGGTTACGTCGTTGTTCTTGCGTGAATTTTGAGATCTTCTCACGGAAATATATGTCAATGATTGTCAATGTATACGTATAACTGTTTCCATTTGTTTCCCATGTTTTTCATATTTCTCTGAGAGTGATGCACTGATGGTTTGCTTTGGTGCTGTTTCCCCTTGAGGTTTGCTGAATGCCGCCATGGCTAGCGCAGCAGCAGATGTGGCCCTGTGCAACGCGGTGTGCACCACTTGCGAGGCGGGTCAGGCGCATGGGAGCACCGGGCACGGGGCACAGGAAAAGGTGCGAAGTAGGTATCAAGTACTCACCGGTACATATTATTATATATTACCTATATCAATATAATATATATATAATATACAACTATATCAATTAATATATACATACATGTGTTGTGAATATATGTTGCATATATATATAGATATACAAACGTGTGTTATGAATATATGTTGCACATATATATATATAGATATAGATATACGAACGTGTGTTGTGAATATATGTTGAATATATATATATATATTTATTTATACAGAGAGAGGGGAGAGAGAGAGAGAGAGACCATGTATGATGATTTAGATGTTGTAGATTTCACTATTTAGTAACTCAAAGGTTTCGGTGTTTCTGTGAAGTGGCCTCGCACAAATGACAAAGGAAAACTGGCTTCCCTACAAACAATTTTCAAATTGTCCCATCCTCTGCAGATGTGTCGTTGCTGTGAAAAGTACCCGAGACGTGCACTCCAATCCTGGAAAACTCAATGGAAAGTAGTGGATTTGTTCATGTTAGGGGGTTCCCATGTCTAGGGCACGTTAATTTTTGGGATGATCCAAATCTGAACGCCCTGTGTTGCGAAGAAATCCTGGGAACCCAGGAGTGGCGACAAGCTGTGGAAGTGCTGCGCAAGATGCAGGAAATCGCATCTTGACGCAGAAACATATTTCAGTTAGTTCATGTGGAGGTATGGGTAACAAAAATGAAAGTATGTATACAAGGTGGTGCCCCCCAAGTTATAAGTTGGTTTATAATCCCATTAACTATAGATATATCACCTATGAACCATAGTTATTGGAGTTATAAACCAACTTAGCTATCCAGGGGGCACCACCTTATATATCTATATATATATATCCGACCATAGCTGGGGATACGGATACATAAATTATATATGTATAGTCACGTACGTGTCCAACTGACAATGGGACAACGGGCAAGAATAAAGATTCAACCAACATACAAATAATTTCCTGTGGATACAAATCCTGCTGGTTGTGAGGCATATGGTACCATTGACTTCCACATCAACTTTGTACACTGGGATGTTGTTTCATGCGCCCCTGATCGTGGGAGCCAACTTCATATTGTAAACATAATGATAAACCTCAAGTCTTAGTTGATGTTTGACACAAATAATTTCTGGTTGAAAGGGGGATGGCACATCTTTACAGAAAACCATCCATTTCTCCAAATGGATCAAGATGGTGCATGTATGATCATTTGTAACCTTCCTGATATCTCCAAAAAGTATGAGGAGGGATTCCACCCCCCTAGACTTGACACGGAGCCCCCAAAATGGGGTGATCATGAACCCTATTTTTTGGGGTTCCAGGTTGAATTCGAAAAAGTACTCTGGCAACTATTAAGAGTAGAAATAGCCAGGGGAGTCAGCAATTTTTTAATAGCTATATCATCATACTATGTGATCCATTTTCCGTGGCAAACTGTTACATTACCAAAAAAAAGTTGGCTCATTCCCCATTAGTCACCCAAAATCCCATCAAATCCCATCAATAAACCCCTTTAGAATCCTAGAAAATCCGTTAAAATCGTATAAAACCCCCACAAGATCATATTGCCAGAAGATCAGGGAGTTAAACAAGTCCATCAGCTTCTATCTGAGGCCTTGCAACCTGACCTCATCACCTTCAGCGCCATCATCAGCGCCTGCGAGGCCTAATCTTCTTAACACCCCAACTGTATGGTCCCAGATGTCCTAGGTTTACCATGGTTTCTGGTGTAAATCATTGTAAATCCTCTGCATTTACCATAGTTTCTGGATGATGTTTAATAAATCCTCTACATTTACCATAGTTTCTGGGTGATGTTTAATATGTTTAATATTGGGTAAGGGATTATGATTTATGATGAAAAAAGCGGATGAAATGGATGATTTGGGGGTATATGGTTGTAAATGGGATGGTATTTACAAGATCTCCAAAAATAGTGTCTTAATGAGATGGGGGTTCTTTTAAGATCCCCCAAGTCAACATGGGTTTCAATATGGTTCAATACTAAGTCATGGTTATTCATGACTTGGATGATTGGAGGGTCCCCCGATTTTTTTGAAATCTCCAGGTGTATAGGATTTCCACACTACAAAAACAGTTGATCACCCAACTAAGTAATGTGAAAAACGTTAATTTGCAGTTATAAAATCGAAAAACAAACAAACTTGATTTGGGGATTATTTTGGGGGTCTTGCACAAGGTGTGCACAACTATGACATGGCACCTTTCACCTAAGTGATATCCAAGTGGTTTTTTTTTGCCGGTACGAGGCGGATGGTGAATGGGCATTTGCGCAACTTGGATCAAGATTGGCTGGGGAGGTTTGAGTGTATCCAATGGATGACACATGGATAACAAATGGACCCAGTAGAGGGCAAGGTGAAAGAAGATCTTCGCAGGTTGGGTCCAGTGATTGGATCTAAGGAGGCTGTCTGTGATTCTGTGATGGCATGAATTTTAAGTAGGTAGAAGTCTGAAGACTGTCCGACATATGACATATGAATTCTGAGAGAAATGGCTTCAGACCCCGCTTTTTGGCCAATCGCAAAAGGGGAGCCCCTGCCAAGGCTGCAGACGTTGCAGGACAATGCTCGGCTAAACATGGCTTCATTTCTCCAGGGACATGCGAGACATGTGTAGTTGTCATTTCCTGTGGGTGCATCGATCATATAATAGTTGTCATTGGATGTTATGGTTTGCCATTTGCTTTTTTGGGCTTACCGTGCTTACCATTTAAAAAAATGTCAATAACGCACATAACTACCACAATATTCAGTTTACCATTCAAGAAAAGCAAACAATTGAATTACAATTGATATATTTGGGATGCTCACCATAATTTTCAAATTTACTATGAGATCGACACATTATGACTTTTCAGGATGGTGAAGCGGCCACCCCCGGTGGCACCGGTCTCAAATGTTGGGTCAGGACATGCAGCGAAGAAAGCTGACACCCAATGCCTGCATCCTCAGTTCATGTTTATTTTTAGCGGGATGAACATCAGAAATTGTGATAGCCAAGAAAAACAGAATCGGGTCCGTTTGCGAGTGATTTGTATCGACATCACGTATGTGGTCATTTGCTGCTATACTACACACATAGACACACACGTATGTAATATATATATATTATATAATAGTGTTTTTATTATGATTATCATTATCATTATCATTATTATGATTGTTATATCTTTATATATACTATTATATTATATCTTTATATGTACATATATATTCTTATTATCATCCATATATATATATATATGTATACATTTGCGTTATGCACAGATCTCAGATGCATTTGTTTAACCTCCAAATCTGGAGAATCAGCCCGGGGAGCGATGATCGTTCAGGTCATCACCTACAATGCCACCATTGCTGCTTGTGGCGCTGGGGGTATCTGGCTACACGCTGTAAGGCAGCGGATTAGTTGGGACGGTGAACAGCCGTAGATATGTACCATTAGTGGACATTGTCCCGAAATTTCCCTGTAAATATGGAGGATTCTCGCGAAAATCACCGAAATAATTGGCAGACATTTCCCATTGCGATGATTGCCAGAGGGTAGATGCAGTTGTCAATACTAAGATATCTAGCCCATGATCACACACACACACAAGAGATCATACTCTTCACCATCACGTGCACGTCAACATTGACCAACTGAGTGGCTCCAAAGGCTACCCCAATTTTGAGCCATGCCCATGTGGACAAGACAAAAATGATGAAAAAATGATGTCAGCCTCTGTCAGTAAAATGGGAAATTGTGAGGGCATCATTTGGTTTTTGTGAGCCTTTGGTTTCTTCCTTTCCATAAAGGTGTTTCAAATTATTGATGGTCCATTTCAGGCTGGGCGCAGCCCCTTTCCAGCACTTTTTTGGGGTGAACTCTTGGGGAACAGCTGGGGGATGCTTGGCCAGGCTGCTGAAAGCCATGGCAGACACACTTTGTCCTCCCGATGTGGTCAGCTACAACTCAGCCCCTTGGCCAACTGGTGGGATATGATAGGTAAATGAGAGCTACAAAGGGGGAACAAATGCTAACTGTGGGTATATTCTGTATCTAGCCGTCTAGCCATTTTCCCCCCTTGTCTCTGGGGTGTTGAGAGCAACCCTGCAATTGGGCGGAGATATATCCTAGTCATATCAGAATCATTGAAAGACATTTGGCATTGAAATGCATTTTTCAACCATCCAGCAAGAAGATCGCCACGTCAGAGGTGTTGGCCTCGGGATTGGGATGGCAGATGAGTTTGCAACTACTGCAGGACGGGGTTTTCACAGAATCATGGTGGCTGGATTCGGGGGAATCATCCCCCAAAGGCCCCACATTTCAGGACCGGTTCATGTCGCCATGGGCCGGAAGGGAACATGAGTGGCCCAACATTTCAGGTTAGAGAATGATCGTATAACTTAGCCAGGTGGCCAGATGTTTGATGTTCGAATTTGATCCCACTTCAAACCCTCAATATCCCTCAATATTCTTCAGTCTGGGGGCCAACATCCGTCATGCCACCAATTTCAATGACAGGAGATGAGGATCCGAAAGCTAGTGGCAGATGCACTTTCCTACAACAGCCTCATGGAGGCCGATTGGTGTGCGCCATTGTTGCAAGGCCATACAGTAGGCCTCAGACAAGCTGATTTTTTGGGGTGAAAGATGACCCCGAGACCCCGTGGTGATGACAGGTATCTATTGATATCGATGGGAAAAGCTCCCAATACCTCGATGTTCACCAAAATCAGGCAGTTTGTCTGCTAAATATTGGAGTTACCAGGTTTGATTTCCCTCCAGTAGCTGTCGTAGATGCCCAGGCGATGGACAGGGCTTGGCAATGGCGGGCAGCTGTGATTTTGCTGACAGAACCTCGGAGATCATGGACCAGCAATGCCCAGATGTTGCCATTGTGGATTGGATGTTGCTGAAGGGCTTGCTTCCACCCACCTCCAGTGGGCAAAGTCATGCAAAGTCATGCAAAGTCATGATCTAAAACTCACTTGCTGCAATGCTGCATTATGCAAGTATAGTGGGTTCAAAGGATAGATCAACATCTCAACAAAATGCCGAATCATCTTGAATCTATCTTTGATATCAGATACAAACAGATATAAGATTATAAGATGATATAAGATGATATAAGAACTGACAGGCCCATAATGGATTCTGAGAGTGACACAGACCGAATGCAGACGCAACCAAAAACTGGGTGGCTGAGCCAAGCATCACAGGCAAAACAAGGCCACAGAAAAAACACAGGTTCAGATGGCTAGCCAAGTGATGTGCCAGCGGTTGCGAAAGCTACGGTCTAGGACCCGAATGCCGGTGGCGGGGAAACTGATCAAGTTCCACACCAATAGAAAATCAACTCTTGCTGGCTCATTCACCAGCGAAACACCGCATCCGAGGAGATGCAGGACCTTCCCACGTCGCCTGATGCCATCAGCATCAGCGCAGCCTTCTCGGCACCTTGCTGGATGATCTTTGGGACTTTGGGATGTCTTTTTTGGGGCATAAACCATTACAAGATCTGGAAAGAGTAATCCAATTGTTTCGTTGATCACCAAAGACTTTTTTCGGATTTGTTGAAGTTTTGGTGATCTTTGCAGCCGTAAACCATCGCATTTTTGAGGTTGACTTGACCTGTGCCCGTTTGCCATGATGTCCACCCGAGGTTTGCGAGAAGAGTGGAGCCAAGCATCAGGCCGGATGACACCTGGGGAGGTGCCCCCAAAAGGTGCCCTTTATGGGATGATACTCGTATGGATGGCAGGGATGATAGCTGACAATGGATCAAATCTTTGGAAAATATAGATTAATATAGATTAGTTGATTATGTGAATGTGGCGTTGTGAATCTTTGTCACAGCCATGTTCAGTTTTCTCTTTGTCCAAAGCTTCAACCAAGACAACTAAGGCTAACCAAGGCATCGCTGCCTGTCCAACAAGTGGTGCATGTCAACCCGCACGGCCAGGCCTGGCTATTAGAGGAGGCAGCCAAAGTCGCTGGCTCCTTCCTGGTGAAAAAGGATGCAGCTGCAGCGGTGCATCATGGATGCAGCTGGGGAAAGGCGACCATGGCAGAAAGTTGGAGAAAGTGGTTTCTGAAACAGGCATGCTCAATGTGAATTGAATATTGAACAGATACATATCTAAATCTATACATATCTAACATATACTTACATATACTTACATATACTTACATATGCTTACATAAACTTACATATACTTGCATATACTTGCATATACTTACATATACTGAAATATACTGACATATATACTTACATATACTTGCATATACTTACATATACTTACATATATACTTACATATATACTTACATATACTTACATATACTTGCATATACTTACATATACTTGCATATACTTACATATACTGAAATATACTGACATATATACTTACATATACTTGCATATACTTACATATACTTACATATATACTTACATATATACTTACATATACTTACATATATACTTACATATATACTTACATATACTTACATATACTTGCATATACTTACATATACTTGCATATACTTACATATACTGAAATATACTGACATATATACTTACATATACTTGCATATACTTACATATACTTACATATATACTTACATATATACTTACATATACTTACATATACTTGCATATACTTACATATACTTACATATACTTACATATACCTACATATACTTACACATATACTTACACATATACTTACATATACGTACATATACTTACATATACGTACATATACTTACATACTTAAGCCATGTCAAGCCCATTTCTTGTTGCAAACTTGCAGTTCCACCTTCCTTTTGTAGCTTTCGAGGTGCCCGGTCACCGACGCACCGCACAATGCTCCATGTCTCATCTGCCAACGCACCAAGGGGAGGGGGGAGAAGCTGTAAGGCACCAGTTTGCTACAAGGGGGGGACCCCAAAATCATCCAAGTTATTAGTCACTATTAGTCATTCATACAATGTTATTGAAATGTTATCAATGGGAAAAGCAATGGTTTTGGGTACTCGTAATGGATTAGCCTTGCATCACCTGTAATTTTAAAGATGCCAAAGACGTGTTTTTTCACTTGCTCTCTTACGTGGTCTTCATGAGCTTTCGGTGATTCTGTTGCCAAGTGCCATTGGTTTGATGCCAGCTGAGGCGCGATTGCAGCATGTGCAGGGCATAGCTTATGGATTCATTGAGGCCGGTGGGATCTACACACCCCCTGGCTGCTCTTGTCGGCGCCTAGAGAGGAGCTTTAACCTATGACTACTAGAGGTACCTATGGCATCCTATGGCTGGGCTGGTTTGTGGTCCTTCTCTACCAAATATGGCCGACTGACTTTCAACAAAACCTCAAGGCTGACCAGCCCAGCCTGAGACTTCAAACCATTTTTGCTGGATGGTTTGTAGCCTGACAGCAACCCCGAAAGGTTGCAATGTTGCCTCAACAAACCAGGGATCAACAGTCAAGCTGCGCAGTCATCCTTGGTGATTCCCACCATCGGTGCAAGGAGACGACGGGAGTGCCAACACCAGTGGAGGCCTGATCCTTCCCATACCAGTATGAAAAAACAACAGCAGAAACTCTGGAAGCCTCAAGAGTTGGCCTTTGGAAGGTTGACAATGATTTGATCAATCAAAAAATGATTGCTGAGTTTAGGGTGTCATCGATCCGTTTGAGGATGCGAAGAGTTGCAAACTAGATAAATAAACTAAGCTTAGGTAAGCTTAGGTTTGTCAAGGTCATTGCCAGGAATCATCGTGAAATATCATGACATATATGACATATCATGACCCCACATACTGTGAGGCTGGGATTGTTTAGCCTGTTCTAGTGCACCATAGTGCACCTGTGGAGCTGCAGCTCCGCAGGCCATTTTTCTTTGCCAGCTGTGTGCGGTATTCTTGGATGGCCGGCGGATCGTGGATTCCAATAAGCCCTGCTCTCAGCAGGGGCTCCACATCCTTTGGATGCCCTTGGAAGATCAGCATACGAATGTTTTTCAATGTTTTTCACATATCATCGGCGATGTTACGAGAGGTTCCACTGGAAAGTGGTCCCAAGGTTATCCTTTAGCATCGTTCAGAATGATGCGTTCATTCATGCTTTAAACGACCACATTTTGCTTTGAGAATGTTCCAGAGAATATTGCCTTTCCTGGGAGTCGTTAGATTTCGCTACATCCCATTGCCAGCGCATGTTTCCAAATGGGTCCACCCCTGGTTGAAATGCATTCAGGCTGGCTCTTGCAGTCCGCAGCCTATGTGTTCTCATCCTCTTTTGTTGGGCCCGCAGCAGTTGATGGGCGGAGCTTGGCTGTGGGGAGTTGGTTGCCCCAACTTGGGAAGAATGCTGGCACTTACCATGACTTACCTTCAATATCAGCAGCTGGGCTGCAGATGGCAGTGTATCAGTGAATAGTAGCTTCAAGTCAGCAAACAGCTCCAAAGCATTTAAAGGGCATAATTAATGTTTCAACAGTCAACTGCAGAAAAGACCGATTCTCGGAGAGATGTGTGCATATTTGAAGCAAGATGCATTGAAACAGTAGAGAACATCATAGATAATCCTCACATAATCCATCATAATCATCATAGATAATCCTCACTTGTATGGATATTGGCCACATTTTGCATGTTTTTTTTGCCACAGCCCTCAGGGCCCACAGCCATGCTCCAGACGCGGCGACGCGTGGGATCGGTTTCTCCCAGGTCGGCGAATCGTCCTGGAACGGCTTCAGGCCGCTTCCAAAGGCGCCTGAATTTCCTGGATTTTGTGAGTCGATGATAGAGTCATTTTCCCAATGGAAAATTGAGCTTGGGGAATCTATATTATATTATATTATATATATATTATAGATATTATATATATATATTATCATGTAGGTACTTTAAAATGCCATAAACCAGCCATTTGAGAATGGTTTTTTGGGCACTTTATGGTGAGGGGATGGATTATTTTTGTTTACAGTACCCACATTGTAAGAAATGTGGTTTATCTTTTGGGCGAGGTCCTTAAGCAAACCCAAGTGGAATGGATTGTAAGATCGCAGCCCCGAGATTGACTGGAGAATTCAAGGAATCAAGACAGTTGCTCCGTTCCATCCATGAAAGTTGGAAAGGCAGAATCTGGAGGCTGGTGATATTTGGTGATATTTTATCTGGTAATGGCTGATGGAAATTCAATGGCTTTGAAGCCCCTTATGCCTCCCACATTTGCCGCAGCCATGGAGCGGCAGGAGATTTGGGCAATGGAGAGTCGAGCCTCAGCGGATCTCAGGTACTGTTTCGCATATGTTCACCATCCGACCTTGTATGATGATGTCAGTTCAACTTGATATACCCTCTGGTTATTTAACATAATCCCTTCCTCCTAATACTAAACCCCCCCCCCTAATACAAAACACGGCAGGTAGTTTTTAGTATTAGGGGGGTATTTATTATTAGGGAACCAAATCGAAGTCATGTTAATTAATTAAATTTCCTTATATAACGCAATTAAAATATTGCCAAAAATGGCAGTTCGAAGCTTACCCCTAATACTAAATTAAAACCCTTAATACTAAAAACTATTTTTTCCGATCTCAAAATCAATTAAATTTCCTTATATAACGCAATTAAAATATTGCCAAAAATGGCAGTTCGAAGCTTACCCCTAATACTAAATTAAAACCCTTAATACTAAAAACTATTTTTTCCGATCTCAAAATCAATTAAATTTCCTTATATAACGCAATTAAAATATTGCCAAAAATGGCAGTTCGAAGCTTACCCCTAATACTAAATTAAAACCCTTAATACTAAAAACTATTTTTTCCGATCTCAAAATCAATTAAATTTCCTTATATAACGCAATTAAAATATTGCCAAAAATGGCAGTTCGAAGCTTACCCCTAATACTAAATTAAAACCCTTAATACTAAAAACTATTTTTTCCGATCTCAAAATCAATTAAATTTCCTTATATAACGCAATTAAAATATTGCCAAAAATGGCAGTTCGAAGCTTACCCCTAATACTAAATTAAAACCCTTAATACTAAAAACTATTTTTTCCGATCTCAAAATCAATTAAATTTCTTTATATAACGCAATTAAAATATTGCCAAAAATGGCAGTTCGAAGCTTACCCCTAATACTAAATTAAAACCCTTAATACTAAAAACTAGCCCCCCTAATACTAAACACCCCGGGATGAATTAGTTTTTAGTATTAGGGGGAGAACCCACAAATGGTAGGTTGATTTTTGAATTGTTTTTTAAAGGGGATCAATTAAAAGTCAAATTGGCCAAACTGAAATTTTCGGAAATTGGAGATGGATGCCTGTTTTTAGTATTAGGGGGACGTTTAGTATTAGGAGGAAGGGATTAGCCATGGAAAATGGCCCATTTATAGATGGTTTACCTATTAAAAGTGGTGATTTTCCATGGCTATGTTAAATTACCAGATGGTAATATATAGTATATTAATGTATGTCATATAGTATCGTTTGATTGTCATCATGATAGATCCTGATAGTTTTTGCTTCTCATCCCTTATAAACATCTCAATTATAGTAGCATAACATATATCATAAGTATGATGATTTTATATTTACACATAATTTATACCTACTATGATTGGGTCATCGCTCAACCACCAACCACCATTGAGGCTTTCTTCTTTCCTGACGGAAGTGGTGCCCATGCTTTGCCAGGCCTTTTTTTGTGAGTCTTTTTGGTGAATCCATCATTGGATCGGATATAATGTGATCTATGATAAAAAGTAATAGATATATATATATATACAATGTTCATTATAGTTTTTTGGATTGAGCTTTGCGGAAGTCGTGATTCAATCTTGATCTGCATTTCGATTAAATTCTGTTTTATTAAGTGTGTTTTCTCAGCGATCTTTACTCAAGCGTGCTTGTCACCGCCTTCTGTGTCAAGCCAAAAGATGCATCATCAAGGCTGAAAGCCTTGCCATTCTCAGGTCTTGACCAAGCTCATTTGCTACAAAGGTCCCACAGAGTGGCACCAGTAATTTCTGTGGAAGTGGGGTCACGGGAGCTGGTGTCTGAAAAATTGGGAGGCCTCTAAAAAACTTGACCAAATCCTAAGTGAACTTCAACATCAAGAGTTCTGATTACCTAATTAGTTTCCCCAATTTGGAGCGAGTCACGGCGAAAAGCTCTACATCGGAAATGTCCTTTGGCTCGAAGCCGCGGCGAAAAGGAAGTTGAAAAGCACGTATTGCAGATATATAGATATGGAAATTGCATGAAATTGCCACATTCTGTGGAAATGAAGACTCAAAAATCATCTCAAAGCACAGCCAGGGACACTGTGGCAGTCACATCCTTTTGAAACGGAATCGGGCGTTTTCCCTAGCGCCTTTCTGCGCCTTTCCGCGGCGTTATTGGAGCAAATGGCGACCAGAGCTTCCAATTACAATCGGCTGTGCCAGATGACCAAGGACCATTGCAAACATCCCACTGGGTCATGGAGAAATGACTAAAATGAGACTTTTGCTGAGTGCACAGCGTCGCAGATCTGAAAAAGTTACTGTTGAAACAGCTTGCTCTATAATCTCTATATTTGAATGATTTTGCGAATCAGGGTTGCATGGGTGTTTTGAAGCCAGTTCCATCCAATGGGCTCACATACGCAGAAAATTACCCATTGGTATCACAAGACTCCGACGACATGACGACGACATGTTCACAAAAATTTCCTTCCGGAGGGCCAAACAAAAACGTTTTTTTCAGAGACAAAAGAGTCGAGCAGCAATCATAGATGTCCGTTTTCTCTATATTTTTCCACTGGTTGGTTGACTACAAGAAGATAAAAGAAGCTTCCCCCCATGCAACAACCTACTCGGCTATAGCATGTTACAGCTAACCTCAAAAACAAGATAGAAAAGTGATTTATTATAATTTATCTATCCATGTCATGGTTAGAGATGATCATGGTTACATATTCTATCATATTCTAAAGAGAAGCCTTCCCCTACTAGGTGTTAGTATGTTATAGTAACCCATAGGCCCATAGTAACTTCCCATTTTTCCTATAGATTTTTGGGGGTTACCCGGGGGTTACCCGGTAAGGGGGTTACCTGGCGAGGATGCTGAAGCGACCTGCGCCCATCTCTTGGCAAACGCTAAGGTGAGATGGGTTGATCCGTGGTGGGTCCGCAGAATGTGTTGTATTTATATTGTAGATGATATTTACGACATACACACGTCATATGATATGATATATATATATATATACATGTCTTATGTTCATAATACAATATAATATATATATATAGATATATATATATAATTATATATATGCACATTCATTTGTATAATGTATATCACATATGGAAAGATGTTGATATGTCAATGGCCTTCACGCCACGCAGTTCGATGACTCACAGGTGGTGGAGGGTCAGCTCAAAGCCCTGCGCACGGAGCACGAGATCTTGCGAGCCGAGGCGACTGCCCTGCAACTCAGCTGCAGAGCTGCTGTCAGTGGCTGTTTCACCATTGAGAATCCCCTTCAAATGGCTGAAATCCTTCGAAAATGCCATGAAAATGGCTGATATCAAAGAAAATCCCATTAAAATGTCTGAAATCCCACGAAAAATAGTTATAAACGATGGTAATTCAGGGGCTAATCACCGGGACTTAACTAGGGAAAACCATGATATAATGGGGATTCAATGTTGGTATAATCCCATTAGAATCCCAATATTTAGATCCCATTGATTCTTCCTACGAAATCTCCTTAACATCCAATTATATATATATATATATCCATTGGTTATCCCATTCAACTCAAACAATTTCCCGTGTTTCATCCCATTGAATGAAACGATGGAAGAGTGAAATTCCATTAGAGTCCCATGATTTTTTCCCTGAAATGCAATGATATCCAAGCGTCACACTAGAATCCATCAAAATCCCATTAACATCCGACTAAAATCCCACTAAAAAACAATTAAAAAAAGTGTCTTAGTTATTAGTATCATATGATAGATACATCCACTGGGTCTTCCATTTGGGTTTGTCTGAAAATTGTGTGCCTGTAAATCCATTTGGTTAATGCTAATTTTCCCTATTGACATTGAATCATTATAATATTTCCATTTTACCATATAGGTTTTATTAGTCATTGATAATGTTCCCTATATGGTAATCATCTATTGGTCATTGATGTTTGGTTTATAACCCATTAACTATAGTTCTGTCATGTTTAGTCTATAGAGAAAAAACTACAAACCCATTCACATTCATCAACTATAGAATACTGTAATTATGTCTAATCTATTTATCTATCTATCTACTCTATCTACTCTATCTACTCTATTTACTCTATCAAATCTATCTACTCTATTAACTCTATCTACTCTCTCTACTCTATCTACTCTATCTACTCTATCTACTCTATCTACTCTATCTACTCTATCTATCTACCTATCTATCTATCTATCTATCCATCTACCTATCTACCTATCTACCTATCTACCTATCTACCTATCTACCTATCTACCTATCTACCTATCTATCCATCTATCCATCTATCCATCTATCCATCTATCCATCTATCCATCTATCCATCTATCCATCTATCCATCTATCCATCTATCCATCTATCCATCTATCCATCTATCCATCTATCTATCTATCTATCTATCTATCTATCTATCTATTTATCTAATCTATCTAATCTATCTAATCTAATCTAATCTAATCCATCCGATCTATCTGATCTATCTGATCTATCCGATCCTATCCTATCCTTTCCTATCCTCTCCTATCCTTTCCTATCCTTTCCTATCCTTTCCTATTCTTTCCTATCCTTCTATCGTTCTATCTATCTATCTATCTAGCTAGCTAGCTAGCTATCTAGTTATCTATCTATCTAGCTATCTAGCTATCTGTCTATCTGTCTGACTGTCTGTCTCTCTCTCTCTCTATCTCTCTATCTCTCTATCTATCTATCTTATCTTATCTTAATCGAATCTTAATCTTAATCTTAATCTAATCTAATCTATCTATCGATCTCCCAATGGATACTTCAATGGTGGTTGGACTTGAGTTCTCCATGACTTAGGCGACGTTGTTTGGACAAGAGCGGTGTGTTGCCCTCGGCGGAACTGGACGCCGAGCTCCAGCGAAACGGCCTGGTGGAGTCGGTGGGAGCACCTGGGCAACGTTTTTGAATCCCATCCGTTCATCAACAGCCCCAGTGTATGATGTGAATGCTCCCAATGATGTGGGTATGGGTCAATACCTATAGATACATTTTTAGTGGGATGAACATCCATTTACCAGCTATTTTGGGGTTCACTAGGTACCAGGGTTTTGACCCATCCCCATGTGGAAATTCCCCAGTAAACCATGGTTTCTAGGAGGTGTTGAAAATATTAGGTGGAAGGGATAAAAAACACAGGTTAAAAACATGGCTATGACTCGGACATGTTCGGGAAAATTGGGGAGACATGGTTGCTGAGATTGTTTTTTGTTTGGAGGGATGCTTAGGAAAAAAAATAGTGAAGTGTGGTTGTTGAATCCTTGAGAGCTATGAATACTTGGGGGATGTGGGGATCTAGGCACTGACGATTCCACCTTCTGGTTTGTTCCAGTGGTGTTTTTAGTTGTGGTTGAGCTGAAGATGGATCAAAATGCATCAATATGTTGTACTGGGATGTACTGGGAATTTGGATATTGGATTGCGATGGATTGGTTGGAGCAAGAGAATGTCCCAAGACACAGTCAACTGTTTTTTTCTTCACTCTTGTTTGAATGTTGGTTGGTGGTTTGGAACATTTTTTATTTTTCCATATATTGGGAACAATCATTCCAACTGACTAATATTTTTCAGAGGGATTGAAACCACCAACCAGATTACGTTGGTTGATATCCCTGAAATCTGCTTTGATGGTGCAACACTCTTATTTGGTGTGGGTCAACATTACGGGCCAAATCCGTGGTTGTGTTCAAGTTTTTTTTCAGGCATTGCTGCTGGGTTTGGTGTTGGTGAACTCAAATATCCACCAGGCTGATGATGATGAAGAACAAGGAAAACAATGAACATGGTCCTTTAAGTTTAATGATGTACCATTATTTACCTATTGAAAATGGTGAACAATCCTTCCATGTCCGAAAATGCCTCGTTTGGCATTCCAATGCATTCCATGTTTGCCGTGTTCCCGGTGTTCCCAGGTTGCTCCGTCCAAGACGCCTGAGACCCCGGCACCAACCACGCCTGCCTCGGGTCCCACCACGCCCACGCCACGCAGTTTGACACGACAGGGTCGATCTCCACGACCACGAGAGTTCAGGGGAAGAAGTCCTCCACCACCAGCAGACTCACCACAGGTGGATCGAGTGAAATGATGGGGGATGGTCTGAAGATGTGTGTAGAGCATCTCAAGAATTACTAATAGGGGCTTGGTATCAATGAAGCATCAAAAGAGCTTAAACAACGCTGAAACCATCAACAATTGGGACTTATACATTGGAGGCAAAAGATTAGAACCTGGGATTGTTCACCATGAAAAAAATCGGACTAGACCCTCACAAACGGTGATTTTGCCCACAAACATTTCAATCCCAAGAAACGGACAATTACTACATTTTGCTATACGGCAGTTGGATGCAATTGGGTTGAAATCGGGTATATACCCCTCAAAAAAAAACGGGATGGTTTATCTATTGTGTCCACTTTAAACTTTAGGACTATGCCCAAATAAGACCAGGTATGAGATGACTTTATATAGAGATGAAATGATGCACCCATGTTACATCACCAATGCTAGTTAGTAAAGCAATAGTCCCCTTATGTTTACCACAATTGGGTTCAAAAAACACCATCAGAAAATGAGTGGTTCTTATTGCTTTACTAACACTATATCATCTAGAATCTATATTACAGGACCTTAGATCATATTGGATCATCTTGGATCATCTTGGATCATGATCTTGGAAAAAATGAGAAGAATCCACGCCTTGGACCTTCAGGTGAGTGATTTACCATCCGTGCCATTGGAAGTGGAGGAGGTGAAATGCCCTGCGCCCAAGAGTAGCTGCGACTTTCAGAACGTCTTCCAGTCAGTGCTTGAAGAAGGACAGGTGCTGGAAACCCTTTTGTGAACAGGAAAGCATAGAGGATACATGGGGTGCTAAGCTAATTGTTGAAGTTTGTTTGCAAACATCATCATGTATAATATAACTAGTTTCCTTGCTGATGCAAGCATATGCCACATCAGTCTTGGCACTGTTGATAGAGAGCATCATGGAAGACGAGCCTCGATCCCAGCACAAAAATCTGAAGGATCTCCCACCGCCGAACATCAAGCCCTACGTTCCCTGCAATCCTTGCTGCGCCACGACCCGGGTGCCTTCCATGAGTATGTGGATGCCAAGAGCCCCGGGGCATCTGCTCTCAGTGCAGCAGTTCGCGGCAACAAGTTGGATGCCGTGAAGATCCTTCTGAAGGTACGGGCAGATCCCAATGAACGTGATGACAAGGGCGTGACTGCTTTGCATTTAGCAGCTTTTGATGGACACCTGGACGTGTGCAAGGTGTTGACCTTGGCTCGTGCAGATGTAGATGCTTGTGATCGTCATGGGCAAACTCCCCTGTTCTTTGCTCCAAACAAAGAGGTCTGCAAGCTGCTGATTGAAAGGAAATCCGATGTGAATGTCCTGAACCGTCGTGGCCAGTCTGCTCTACACATGGCTGGCAGGGCTGGGCTCCATGAAGTGCTGGCCTGGTTGTCATCGAGGGTCAGCCAAACATTGTGTGAGCTGAAGGATGTTCATGGCATCAATGCCAAGACCTACGCCAAGATGTCAGGCGTCCCTGCACCCATTCCCGCTCCCATCCCTGTCCGTAGCACCAGAACACCCAGCCCAACACATAGCATCCAGAGCAGCCAGAACAAGGGACGGCTAGGACGCTCACCTCGCAGTGGTAGCTTGAAGAGCTTGGGTAGCGCTCGCAACGATGGTAGGAACAGCCCCGTAGCTACCAGTGCCAAGAGTTTACCTAGCGTCCCAACTGCCCATGCCTTCGACTTCTTTGAAGTTGCCAACAGTCCCTCACACTCGCCTCCCAAGCGAGCAGCTCCAGCCGCCAGCCCAGAAGCACAGCAACTACCTTCCATGTCAACCCTGGTAGGCGACTATACCGAACCAAGCTTGGAGTCAATGTATGCTGGTCTGGATAGCCTTGAGAGGCTCCAGAAGATGCGTGGCCGTTCCCAAACCATGGACCGCGGTGACACCGTGGCTGCCCTTGCCGCCGCCGCCGCGGTGGCCACGGCCGCCGTGACCACCGCGGCAGAGCTGACCCCACGGACCACGGCAGGGCCACCGGCCCATGTGCCCAAGACATCGCCCAGGGCGCTGGTGGCGGAACCGGAGAGGGAACCTGAGAAAGCTACGCTGGGGACTGATGAATTGGCAGATTTGGGAATTATGGAAGCTGATCCTGATGAACCTGAAGATCTATCTCACCTGGGCATTGTTGATGACCATGGCGAGATGGATGACTTGGCAGCTGCGGGGGTCATGGATGAGGCTGATCCTTTGGCACCACTTGATGGAGAGCTGGATGAGTGCTGGTGATGGCCAAACATTCACCCAAATGGGTGGATCAGGCCTTGAATTGGAACTTTGAGCTGGCCGCATGTTGATGTATGCAGCCCACAACATGTGGCATTTTCCGCGACTTGCCCACCTAATGACCAGAACGAGAACTAGAAAATGGTAACCCAAATGCTGCAAGCAGGAATTGCCGGCAATCAGCAGTAAGCCAGAAAGATTCCATCGGCATCCATCAGCTAGAACACTCACAGGTTTGCACCTTGCACTTTCGGAATGTTTCCAGGGATTGGATCATTTAGCCTGCTTTCTGGCGATTTGCTGCACCCTCCAAAGCCAGGCCAGCTGAACCTGCATCATACCTGCCTTTGGAAGTTGGCCTTAGAGGTGCGGGTTCTCACCAGAGCAGTTGAGGAACTGGTGCCATTTTTTCTAATCATTCGATGGCACCCTCCAAAAAAATAGAACCATCAACCACTAAACAATCTAAACAGAGATTTTTGTGAGGGTTTTGAGCATTGCCCAGCTGGGTCACAAGATGTTACAACTGGGAAGTGCAGCAAGACAACTGATGCAGGCACTCTTCTACATCGCCTGAGCCTTGACTGTTGGGTTCGTCGAAGCTGACATGGCAGAGTTTGACCTTAGATAAACTGGTGGAGCCTGATGGTGACCACCGACTCAATCTACGGCAATGCACGGGATTCGGAATGTTAAAAAGCTTTACTGGAGTGAAAGATTTCACACATCATGTTTGGGCATGTTTGCCCCTTGCCAGGGTACTTCCTGGTACTCTGAGCCCATGCAAGAAGGAGTGGCACAGATGGACTTGGCACTCAAAATAAGATGCAATTGGTGGATTAGGATCATTTAGGAAGGTACATAAGGTACAGTATAGCCAAAGAAACTCGCAACCAAAAAAACATGTCCAAGGAAAGAAGCTGTTGAACCGAATGATTTTCTTCCACATGGCCTCTTCGGCCTCCCAGAGCATTGCTCTAAAGCGCTGCCCAGGTAGAGGATAGTCTCACCTGCCTGGAGCAGTGTGAGGTGGAGCAGCACTTCAAACCATTCTATCATTGATAAAAAACCGAGCATTCCACACATGTCTTTTGGATTCTTTTGGCATAACTAATGATACTAATGTGTATAATGCTTATACATCTATGTCTATGTCTATATCATAATAAATATATATATATATATAGAGCTATCTCTTTGTTTGCTGCAGTTTGCATTGCAGGTCACATATTTTTTTGTGGTGGAAAAATTGCTGACGTTTAACCCTTCAGGAGAACTAGGCCTGCATCCTTGGACCAGGTTGACGATAGATATTGGGACGCTTTGGCCAGCTCTTTGTCAAAGGCCACTGATGGTGGGTGGGCATGGTGAGGCCACGTAAGCTGCGAGCCCAACCTGTTGTCCTGCGAAATTCCTTCATCAGCCACAATTAGTCAGTGTGTTGTATATGATCATATGGCAGTGTGTGTGCGCATTGTTTGTCTTTTCACTTTTTTGTTGATGTTTGGAGAGGTTCGACGTCACCCTCCGAAATGCGCTCCTCCAAAACAGATCTTTTTTTTGGGGGGGTGAGAAAAGTACCCTCTGGTAATTTAACATAGCTATGGAAAATCACCATGATTAATGGGAAAATCCACTATAAATGGTCATTTTCAATAGCTATTTTGAATTATTTTGACATAACCAGAGGCTACATAAAGTCAGGCAACAACTCCAACTTTTTTTGGGTACTGACAGCCTGCCCGATCATCCCAGGTGGCTGATGTGCTCAGACTGCTTGGGGCCCTGGTAGATCGAATGTGGAGTGAATTCCGGCTTGGGGAAGAACTAGGCCTAACTAGGCATCCAAGTTCCTTGAAATCGTGAATGCTATACTGAGCCAAAACATGTAGTCATCAAATATCTTGGAATATGAATGGTAAGTCCCATCATTTGATGGGCTATACTGTCAAAGCCTACAGAATTCCTCAACAAAACAGAGACAATGGAAAATGGTCAGAGTGGGAAGGCACATCCTTTGGTTGTGACAGACCAGCACGCGAACGTTTCTCCTGCATGCAGCATCATAATAAGTGATGGTTGATTATCAGTTTCTCTATTCCAATATATGTGTGAGGTATATAATACCCGATTTCCAGGCAAGCCCAAATCACTTAACCAATGGCACCCCAAGATACCCCAAGCACTCAGGACAGCGGATGACGATGCTGGCCTTTTGTCGCAGGCACAACCTGCAAAGATCAAAGTGATGGCAGTCAGTCAACTGTTCAAATGGGGATGGGTCAAAACCCTATCCCCCTGTAGTTCACATCAAAATAGCTGGGATTTATGGATGTTCATCCCCCTAAAAATGGTATTAATAGCTATTGATCCATACCCAAATCACTGCCACAGCATGCGAGGTTTTTTCCAACTTGTTGATGCAAAGGTGGGCGGAGCTGTCAGGGTTTAGGGTTCAACGGTTCGGTCGGCCCTTTTGGGGCGCCTTTAACTTCCAGAAAGGCAAAGTCTGACGACAAAAACGCCTGGGATGGGTAGAAACTACCAACCGGCTGAGTGGACTCTGGAGACCCCCCTTGTTCCAATGGGCGCGCGAAACCCTTAGGCTCTTGGTGTGCACCAAGACGCCTATTGCCATGGCGGAGCGAGCGGTAGGCTTGCTCCAGGCCGGGATCGTGATTTTTTTCTACGGCTTGCCATACAACGTTTTCACATACACCTCTTCAAAACCAATCGATCTTCCACCATCTCCTTTGTATTTCCTGCCTTTCCCGCACCGCTTCAACCACTGTTTGTAATTTTAGGAAGAAGTTGACTTGTGGGGTTATCCGGCCCTTTAATTTTGCAAATGGTTGCAACTTCGGAATGGCCAAGCGTGATGCATTCCTTCTATTTAATTGTGTTCGGCAAGCCCGTCGGCCATAGAGAGGTGGCCCCTGTGCATTCTAGGGTCCATCTCACATCAAGATCGCTGGCAAATGGATGAGAATCATTGATAATCCATGTTCATTCCCCCAAGTATGGATTGAAATGGTTTATGACGGATTCTGATCCATCCCCACGTTGTTCTAGACTTGCAAAACGAATGTCTTTTTGGGTGGCCAGCGGAGGTGTTGGTTCGTCCGGAGCTCAGATCCGGCTTCCAGCATTGGCTTAGACACACATACACACGCATTGACATATGTATATAATCTGTGTATAAATGCACCTGCATATATACATGTATATTGTTTTTTATTGTACCATGTGCGTTTGTTGATATTATATGATATGATATGTCACAACACCTCAATCATTTAATTTGAGATGAAACATATGAAACCTAGAAAAACGGGAATCCCGGCTGTGAATCTAGTGTGGAAAATGAGGGTTAGGCTCCAACCATTTGATTTCATGGGTGGTATGGTATGGAGTTAATGTGTGTAACATGTTTTTTGGGGGGTGAATCATTCTGGCGTTCGTTGATTTGGGAAGATAAACACTGACAGGTATTGACTTGCAGCACAATCCCGAACCATCGAACATCATCGAACCATCACAGGGAAATCAAACAATATCAAACAGAATAGTCAAACGATGTCAAACATGGACTTCGCTGATTTTCCATGATTTTTCCATGATGTTTCCATGATGTTTCCATGATTTTTCCATGATTTTCCTCAACAAAAGGTCGTTGAGTCGTTTGGGGAGCCTATTTTAATGGCGACATCACCACTTGAGGTGACGGGATGGGATCGCCCAGCCTGAGGTCGGAGAACCAATGATTAGTTTCACCATGTTTCACCCAGAAAAAGATAGCAACAAACCAGAAATTTGATCTATTTTAAGTGACTATTGACTAGTAGGGTGTGACTGATTGATTTCTGTTTGATTTTTGGGGAAGGGGTTGATCTCTACGGGTACCCAAACATGATGGTCGGTTATTCAAAGTCACCAACCTTTGGGTGAGATGCAAATATTGACCCGCAGCATGCCGCAGCAACCTTGCAAAAAGTCAGCTGCATGATGCACAACATCTCAAACAGATCAGATTCTTCTGCGAGGACATGTTTGGGTATGTCGTTCGCGGTTTCTGGTCTATTTTCTCAGGCATTTTTTCGCACTTTGTGAGACTGAGGTCGGGTGGGGTGGATTGGGATGACGCCCGTCTCATAGGTAATGTGAAACGGCCCTTTGCTTCAGGATAGGGGTCAGAACTCAGAACTATACTGTAATGACTACACACAAATAAATAAATATGTATGTATGTATATAATTACGTATATATAATTATTTATGTATTTATATATATATATATATTTATATATATGTGTGTGTGCATATATATATATATACATATGCATATGCATATATATATATATATGTGTGTGTGCATGTTTATACATATTATATATATATATATGTGTGTGTGTGTGCATTTATTTATTTAGAAATATATACCCCACCCATCCATGTCCAACATAGGGGCTACCAGATTTGAAATTTAAGCACAGTAGCGGCTAATTGGTCGAGCCGGCAGGCGGCTCAGGCGCCTGAGCCGAGTGAGGATAGCGAAGATGCCAAGCTGAGTGTTCGTTGTCCCAAATTTCGGATGGGATTTTTTTTTCCGCTGGCATTTGATGGGATGGGTTGAAAATGGTTGGTTTCGGTGTTGTTGCAGAAATTCAGTCTACAGTTTCGCCAGAAAAGGTGGACATGGATGGATTTAAATGGTGCGACGGAGATGCTTCATTATCTTGGCTTGGTTTGGTGTACCTTTCGATCTCCAGGTGAAAAAGCCTGTATGACTAAAAGTACAGCCATCTATGGAAAGAATGGAGGATAGGAGGTAGAAGGCTTGTCGTGCATCGTTTCACAACTTCAACAAACACATCAATAAATCATTCCCTGAGTCATCACTCCCAAAAAAAAATGTTCTGTGATTGCAGGGTGTTTCACCCTGGGTAAAGACCCAGGTGGCCTCGGCTGCGGCCAAAGGACTTCAAGCTCCAGTGGTGGGCTCAGGAATGCTCTGCGAGTAAGGTTGCTAATTAATAGCCAATTATATCTAAGCATCCACCAATGAGTAGCATCAGAAGCATAGTGAAAATCTACTAGTTAATACTAGTTATTGGCTCTCTCAAGTTTCAAGATTCTAATCAAAACTTCTAATGATTTGTAGGCTTTCACGAGCCAATCATGGCAGGTTTCATTAATGCTTCATTACGTACAAGGATAGTTGGCTCTTGATTTAGAATGATCTCGAGGTGTAGGTGATGAATGATAGGCTTCGCGGACCATGCGCTTTCATCCATATTTGCACATCTATTTTGGGTACTTGGCTTTGGGTCTTGGTACTTCATCTGGCACGGCTGCCCACAGGTCGCTCGAATTCCCACACGGAAAGCCCTGTTGAGTGCCCCGCAAGTTGCTGTATGCAGCAGAAAGGTTTGTGGGGACAATCATGGAGAATGCAGAAACCATCACAAACTTCGAGAATGTAAACCAATGATAATTACACGGGTAAGACGGTGCTATTGTTTACATTTGCATCATGGCACTTTGAACTCATGCACCTGTGATGCCAGTGGTCCCTGGCCAAGCGTTCGGAAGTCACTCAATGGCAAATTATTGGAAGCCTCAACCAAAACCTCCCGGCGAAGCCGATACCAAAGGGGATGTGTCCCTGGACAGAAACCGAATGACACCGAGTGGTTCAAGTTGCAGATCGCTCAGAAAATTTTGCCAAAGTGGCGACAAATAGTTGGTGCCGAACCAGAACTGCTATCAGGATTCTGTGGCAGTTGCACGTTTTCTCAAGGTGTTGTACAGTTGTTGTAGCCATGAAAGTACGTTCTTATCGTTCTTTACAAACGATTCACTAGATATGAGGCCCTCATTCCTATGAGCTCGAAATGCTAGGACTATCCCATTGGTGTAGGATGGTGTAGGTACCGCGGCGCCTGCATTGGTGAATTACGTCCTTCGGCGGCAACGTCACCTCACTGCTACCGCACCATAAATGATGATTGATGGCGATTGACGCTCGGGTGAATCATCCCAAGCGATTTGCTCACTTTGAATGCGTTGTATGATTTTATCATGTTGATTCATTTTGTATCACTCTTGTATCACTCTGAGTATCACTTCAAGCCATTGAAAGTGCCAGCCTTATGCAGCAAAGCAGTACAGAGGGGCATTTTGGCATCTTTTGAGTGCCGCAGGGGAGTGCTTGGGTGTGAATGGTAAATAATTAAGTATCCTGAGGGTAGTTATGTATCACTGGACCCATCATATCAATCATTGGCCATTGGGTTACAGTGATGGGTCATGATCGTTCCCAATCAATGGTAGAATGTCAAAAGTCTGTCCAGCAAGATGGGGTTAAATCACCCAGGCTGGTTTCTAGTGGAGATTGAAGGAAACCATGGGAAAGCCGTTTTGTTGGTTTCTGATTTCACTTGGCACTTTTTCCCCTTACCACGTTTGATGATGGGAAGTCTTTGATTCTATTAGAGTTGCCCTTTGACCCCTCTGTGCCAAGGTTCGAAACCTCTTCACGCGTTACTTGCAAGAGGAGGCTGGCATCTCGGGTGCCGTTATCATTTCCCACACTACTGTTTTTACTGCTGTAATCATCTTATTGGGTGATATACTGCCTTTGCATACTTTTGCAATTTTTTGCATAATTCATATATATATATATATAGGAGCACACCATTGGCTTCCTTGGATAGTGTGAAAGGTGTCACTCGCTCCGCAGTCTGGCTTCTATGTGGAGGTAAGACAGGTAATTGGGACCCCTCTTTTGTGGGAGTCCCTGGCAGGCGGCCAGGGGTTCATCTCCTGACTGCTGTTAGTCCAGGGGTTCCTGCAAGAAGAGGACTAGAAAGGTCTAGGGCGTGCGGAGCCATGGCAAGCCCCGAGGCTTGGAGGAAGACGGGCCGTAAGGCCGCTGAGGCTCACTGGGTTGGACTAAGCCCAGGAGAGCTGGTTGAAATTGTGGTCTACAATGACCAGGGGCAGACGCAGGGGACTATCCTGGTCGAGCTGTTGCGAGAATATGAAGATCCCGCCCATGAAGGACGATCATGGCTGGGAAAAATCCATGCCTGCCAAGATGACTACTTCGCCTGGTGGGTGTCCACCACTTATGATCAAGGAGAAGCAGGCATCCACTTTTGTGGTCGTCGTGGAGACCACTGTTCAGTGCGGACTCCCTTTAGGGACGTTCTACACGTAGACGTGTTCCGGATGCTGCCTGGAGACTCAGCCCTCTCCCTTCCTTGGCTCTCCGAAGACCAGAAGAATCTCGTCACACAATTGCTGAAGGCTTCTGGGCCTCCACCGCCAGGCTCGGGGCAAGTCCCTGGGGCTGGTGCTGGAGAGCCTGGGGGCCGGGGCAAAGTGGAAGGAGGCGAGCCAGGAATTAGAGGCCTGGCTGCAGCCTTGGCCGGCGGAGAAAGGGAATCGGACGCTGGAGAAGTGGAGAACGAGCCCAAGGAGAAAAAGACGAAAAAGAGAAAAGCTGGCCACGAGAAAGACGAGGACTATGGACAAGGGCTTCAAGAAAAAATTGCAAAGCGGAGCCCGCCTAATGTGGGAGCATCGGCCTTGCGACTGAAGCTGAAGAAGAAGAAGGCCTCAAAGAAGAAAAAGAACAAGGACAAAAAGAAGACAAGCTCCAGCAGCGAGTCCTCAGATCGATCTGACTCGCTTTTTCAACTGGCCGCCCTGCCCGCAGGCACAGAGAAGATCCACCGGCTTCACGAGGAGAGACCGGGGACTCTGGCGAATCTCACCCTCCTGAAGTTTCAGGAGATCTTGGAGAGAACCGTCGGGTTGAGCAGGGGAACGGCCGAGAACCCGCAAGAAGAGAGCCTGCCACCGGTCGCACGGGGCTACCTCACACAGATCCTGTTGACGAGGTTTCCAGAGGCAGCAGCGGGGCTGCGGAATGTCCGCGAGCTGCGCACCTTGGCGGCGATCATAGACGGCATCTGTCAAAACGACAGCATGCGGAGCCTGGACGTGGCAGTTCAACGGTTCAAGAGCATCGAACTGTTCATGTCCCAGGGCTCGTGGGAGCAAGGCAACCTTCTGGAACTGATCCCAAGCGAAGGGGAAGCGAGGTCGTACTTCCGGCCGGAACTGAAGGCAACGCAGCAGGAGCTGAAAACAGAACAGCGCCTGAGAGCGGGGCCCTGGCAGCCACGAAGGAACCAATGGGCTCCGAGATGGGAGGATCGGCAGGCGCCTCATGCCGAAGCAGTGGATCCCGGCGGAGCAGAAGCAGGCAAAGACGAGAAGCCGCCATCGAATCGTCCCGGCCAGAAGGGACGCAAAGGGAAAGGAAAAGGCAAAGGACGCAAAGGGAAATTTGCATGGTGATGGCACCTGACGATACAGAGGGAGTGCCCGGAGAAGAAATCCGAAAGGTCATGGAAAATGGAACTTTTGAAGATGAAAGAGGGCAGTGGATGAGAAGAATCCTCTATGACCTTCTAGAGCACCCCCAGGTGCGGCAGTACTATGATGAGCTACGCTGCCTGGTACAGGCGCCAACAACATGGAAAGAGGTGGAACACAGGTTCAGTGAAATCTTGGTTGAGATGATGGATGAACCAGAAGAGAAGCTTCTGGAGAGCCTTCGAAACACCTTCAAGTGTCTGACAGAAGATGATCCGAAGCCTTTGCTCAAGTTGCTGGGGGTCCCGCAGCCACCTTCGGGGCCGTCCCCGGAGGCGGTGAAGGGGCCTCTGGCGCGCGAGTATAGAGGTGTAGAGATCAGATACCGAACGGAGCTTTGGGTCGGCCAAGATGGCGGTGTGTTCGTGGGACGATCGAAACCTGGACGGCCGGGATGCGTCATCCATGAGGATTTTGGACGCCACCTGGATCGCGAACTTTTTCGAGAAGCCCTTCTGGGGAAGCCCCTGTATGTTGATGAAGGCGAGGAAGACCTTGCCGTCGAGGTGGTCCAGGACTTTAACCTGGCACGGGGACCTGAGGCCCGAAGGGTTGATTGGCAGGCAGAATGGCTCAAGACCTGGCAAAGGCTTCTTGGGCATGGGGTGTCCCTGAGTTACACCGGGGTGGCTCTGAAGTTGATGATTCGGAGTCGCCCTGGAAGCTTGGGGAACTTCTCGCGACTGTTCAAATGCTGCGCTCTGAGGAACTTTCAGGGGCACCCCGCAGAGCTGTTGCCAATGGCCCTGCCTGACGACACCGCGGAGGAGCAGCATGCCTTCGGGGCCTTGGTAAAAGCGGCAGGGGCTGCTCATGACCCCAGTGATGAAGACTGGTCCGCAGTTGAAAAGTCCTGTGAGAAAGCTGGCGTTGCTGCCTGGTCATGGTTGCAGGTGCTTGGTGTGAATGCGCTGTACCTGGGCGGAGGCACTGACCAATGTCTGAGCACTCAGATGGCCCACAGCTGTGAGTGGTCTCCCGGCCAACAGGCTTTGATGTCAAGAGCCCGGGAGCTGGCTGAGATATGGCTTGAAAAAGGTGAAGGGAAGATTGAAATAGGAGAATGGGACAAAATCAGTCAGTCGCTGGACGGCATCTATACGGGACCAGAGGTGAAGAAGGCCTATCCCTTGACGGTGGAAGGTATCCTACCCACTACCCCTGCGGCAGATGAAGCAGGGCGAATTGAGCTGGCGGAAGTGGTCGCACCTGAGCTCAAGAGCTTTGTGCTGAATCCTGAACTCCTGCGCATCCCGGACGATGAGCTGATCGACCCGAGGACCTTTGCCAAAGTCCATGTTGACAGTGATGAGGAATGGAATAGAGTTGTCGCTCACCTCGTGAAGGCAGGAATGCTAGAGCGTGAGGATCCACACGAGACTCTGCGCTACAAAGATGAGGCCGTCAGGAATGGTGCTTTCGGTGTGCACAAGGGATGGCAGCAGAGGGAGGATGGGTCCCTCTTCCGGACACTTCGGCTGATAATCAACCTCATCCCCTCAAATGGTTTCCAACGAAAGACCCCTTGGCGCCCTAGCCAGAAAATGGGGTACAGTCCGCTCTGGGGACAGATGGTTGTCCTTGAGGATGAAGTGGTGATGAGCTATGGGGAGGACCAACGCCATTGTTTCCACATCTACCGCCCAGGATCGAAGTGGAGAGGCTACTTCGTCCTCAGCAAGAAGGCGGCAGGATGGGCTTTTGCAGACTCCAGCCAGGAGGCCAGCTACCCAAGAGTTAAGACCGCGCCAATGGGGTGGTCAAACGTCGTGGACTTCATTCAGAGCGGTCTGGAAATGATGGGAACTCAGGCTGGAATGAGCATCAAGCATGCGGTTAGATTGGGAGATGCCCTCCCAGCTCTTCCACTTGACACTCCAAGGACATACTACTCTTGGTATGTTGACAACTGGGACTCTTTCAAGATCGTGGCAAAGAGTGACATGGGGGAGTATGAAGGAAAGCCTTCGGATGACCAGCTGAAGTTGAGAGCTGTCTTTAAACTTTGGGATGTTGGGAGAGACCCAAAGAAGGCAGCAGAAGGAACTCTGAGCTGGTCCTCCCTGGGGGCTGAAGTGGATGGCGGCCGAGGATTGGTTGGCTCGAACACAAAGTTCCGAAGAGGGATCCTCGGAGCCACCATCAACCTGCTTCAGGCGCCTTGGATCCGAACCGATTCACAAGAGCTGCAGGCACTGGTCTCAAAGCACATGCACACGGTCCAATTCTGCCGCCCGCTGGCTAGCGCCTTCGATCATTTGTATCGGGAGGTGGCGAACCCAGGGGGTGGTAGGAACTTGAATGACTTGGCCCGTGATGAACTGTTGCTGCTGAGCAGTTTGCTGCCGCAACATTGGATCAACCAACGACATACGCCTTCGGGAACAGTGTTTGCCACTGATGCTTCAGAAGAAGGAGGAGGAGCGTGCCAAAGCACGGGTCTCAGCGAATGGGGCCATCAACGTTGCCATGGCCTGAGTTATGCCGAAAATGGACTGGAGGGATCCGCGGCTGATGACCTCTTGGTGGTTGAAATGTTTGCTGGCATGGGAGGGCTGAAACAAGCCCTCGAACTGATTGGTATGGTTCCTCAGGGGGTTATCAGTATCGATAATGACCCCACCAGCAAAAAGCTTTCGAGAGCCCACTGCAGGCACGGGATTTTGTATGATGATGTCAAGACCATCACCAAAGAAATGGTGGTTGAATGGAGGAGACAGTTTCCACGAGCCCGCCAGATCCTGTTGGCAGGGGGATGGCCGTGTATTCATCACTCCTCCCTGAATGCCAATCGGCAGGGAGCAGCTGGCGCTACGAGTCAACTGTTGGATGAGATGATGAAGATCCGGAGCTGGATAAAAGAGGCATCAGCAGCCCATGGATTGCCCTCATGGGACTTATTGGAGTTCTATGAGAACGTGGTGATGGACAAGAGCGACCTTGAAGTCCAGAGTGAGAAGATTGGATGGCTGCCAATGCATGTTGAGGCGGCGGATGTGGGAAGATGCCGTCGACCTAGACTCTACTGGGTGAAAGGCATTCAAATGATCAATGGAAGCGACCTCAAAGTCGAGCAGCAGGCAAAGATCCGTGATCTTGAGATTGCCCTTGATAAGGGAGTGATCAAAACGGAGATCCCTCCGCTGGACTGGTTCCTCAACAAGGGGGCCAAGAAGCTGAGCCAGGAGAACGAGCCATTCTACACGTTTACCCGGCCAATCATGCGGAAGGAGCCGCCACCTTCCCCGGCAGGTCTCGAGCGGGCATCGCCGAAGGCGCTCCAACGATGGCGGGGAGACAGCTTCAGGCTGCCCCCGTACGCCTACGAGAATGCCAACCTGGTGACTGACAAGAGTGGGCCCAGGCGATTGCTGCCCGATGAGCAGCTGAGGATGATGGGCTACACCAGCTCACATCTGACCTTGAAGTCAAAGCTCACCAACGACCAAAAAGGCCATTTGATTGGGAACTCCTTCAGTGCCATTGTTGTGGCCAGACTCCTGACCGGGCTGGCGCTGGATGACGATCAGGGCAAGGACGTAGATCTGACAAAGGCCATCTGGGAAAGTTGGCGTTCCCTCGAGGACCAAGTTGGCCGGGAACAGCAGCCGTGGCGGACACGCTTCGGGCAAGGGCCTCGGGCGGGCCAGGGGGTGGTGGCCATGCGCCGTCGTGTGCTGCCACCCGCCGATCTTCCGCTCAAGGCCAAATTGGACCCACAGAACCGCCTCACCGACGAAGAGTTGCTGGCCTACATGCTGACGCGGCAGGCGGTCCAAAAGGGCTGTGACATCCGGGTGGACCTCAACCAGCCATTCTCCTATGGCACTATGTGCCGACACTCCATCGACCCAGGAAATTGGCGATGGAAAGTCCTCCTCTCCTATCAGTGGAAGAAAGGGGGCCAACATATCAATGTGTTGGAGGCCACCGCCATCCTTGACTTGGCACGAAAATTGGCCCGTGAACCAAAGCACCATGGAATGAGATCGATCCTTTTGGTCGACAACATTGTTTCACTCTCGGTCATTGCAAAGGGCCGTAGTTCTGCTCGCTCTCTTCAAGCTCCACTTCGACGATTGACAGCGGTCTTGTTGGCCGCGGACCTCCGGTTCTACTTGGGCTGGGTCAAAAGCAGCTGGAATCCAGCGGATGGACCTAGCCGTTGGAAGGCAAAGCTTTGACCATGCCTCGGGCACAACTCGTGCAACGAAAGTCGAAGGGAGAGCGAAAAAGAGAGCGCAAAGAACTTGGGACACTTCAGCAACTCGTGGTGCAAAAGAGTACTTTCACCCGTTATTTAACGGCAGTTTCACGGTTTCTTGATTTTTTAAAAATGCAAGGATACCCTTACCCTTCTGGTTTTGCTAAATTGGACCTCAAAGTCTGTGAATTCATTGAAACTCTTTGGCAAGAAGGGGAACCAAAAGCATATGCCTCGGACACAATTAGTGGCTTGGGACATTTCATACCCTCCTGTAAACGGTTCCTGGTAGGAAGCTGGCGTCTGCATGGGTCCTGGAGCCGTGCTGAGTTACCGGATCGTGCTTTGCCCTTTACTCCACTGATGGCCTATGGACTTGCTCAAATGGCTTTTAATAAAGGTTGGAAGGATCTTTGCATGGTGATCCTACTGGGCTTTACCATGTTTGCCCGAACGGGAGAGGGCAAAAGCAGGTGACTTTGTTTTTGACCACCGACTGCGAAAGGGTGTCTGGTCTCTTCCACTGACCAAATCGGGGCAACGGGCAGGGGTCCGGGAATCCTTGACAATCGAAGACCAATGGCTGTTAGTGGCACTCAAGAACTACTGCAAGTCCCTTCACCCAGGAGATACGTTGCGGAAAGCCTCGCCCCAACTGATGCGGAATCGTTTCAAAGAATTACTACAGGAAGCTAACCTTCCCCCAGGCTTTGCCTTTTATTCCCTACGCCGCGGCGGGGCGACCCATGCCTATAGGCAATCTAATAATCTCTCCTGGGTCTGCCTTGTTGGCAGATGGGGCCATGAGAAAACAGCCCGAATTTACATCACTGATGCCTTGGCACAGCTGACAGACATTGGTCTCTCCCGCCCTGCTCGTCAAAAACTTTTGCGCCTGGCTCAACAAGCTCGTCCAGGATATCAGTTTGATAATTAAACCCCTCCCCCCACTCCGCATTCTGGCACAGCCACTTCACCTGACCAGCCAGACTTGAACCGGCTACCCACATTTCACAGTTCCTGTAGCTGGGGTCGGGTGGACACCGGTGTCTGGGAGGTTGTAAGGATGCAGAGGCATAGGGTATTGACCCTTGCGGGGGGGCCTCCCGGGTGGCTGGGTGTTTCCTGCATGGTTCACTCAGGGTGGTGTTCTCATGTGACTTTCTGGGAACTGGGTCAGGGGGTGGTCATCTTTATGATGCCTTGTCCTGGTTTTCCTTTCCTGTCACGTGGGTCCTGCCGTCACATGAGATGTCTTGAACAAATCCCCTCAGCGCAGCTGAAAAATGGGAGCGGAAACCTTGAGCACTAACCCTTTGGCTTCCTTGGATAGTGTGAAAGGTGTCACTCGCTCCGCAGTCTGGCTTCTATGTGGCCCACCTACCACCCCTTTCTCCACCAAGGGTTGGGACAGCGGTGTCTGGGAGGTTGTAAGGATGCAGAGGCATAGGGTATTGACCCTTGCGGGGGGGCCTCCCGGGTGGCTGGGTGTTTCCTGCATGGTTCACTCAGGGTGGTGTTCTCATGTGACTTTCTGGGAACTGGGTCAGGGGGTGGTCATCTTTATGATGCCTTGTCCTGGTTTTCCTTTCCTGTCACGTGGGTCCTGCCGTCACATGAGATGTCTTGAACAAATCCCCTCAGCGCAGCTGAAAAATGGGAGCGGAAACCTTGAGCATTATATATAGTTTTTTTAATAATATATATAATGTTGGCCTCTGATTAGTGTGAGGGCCCAAAAAAAAAACAATTTTAGTCCACTCAATAACTCGGCATTTTCTGCGCGCCCCCAACAATTTTTAGTGAACTTAAGTCAGGATTTCAATTGACATCAATCTACTTTCAATTAATTTTCCATTTAAACATCAAAACAATATCTTGACAAGAAAGGATTTCAGTTGAAATCAATTTACTTTGAATTCATTTGAATCTACGTTCAATTGATTTTCCTTTTAAACCTCAAAAATTTCACTTGATAAGAACGGATTTCAATTGAAATCAATTTACTTTCAATTCATTTGAATCTACGTTCAATTGATTTTCCTTTTAAACCTCAAAAAATTCTCTTGATAAGAAAGGATTTCAATTGAAATCAATTTACTGTACTTTCCATTCATTTGAATCTACATTCAACTGATTTTCCTTTTAAACCTCAAAGCAATCTATTGATAAGAAAGGGATTTCTATTGAAATCAATTTACTTTCAATTCATTTGAATCTACTTTCAATTGATTTTCCTTTCAAATCAAAAAAACACCCAAAAAGCTGTTGTGCACAATAGGGTACCATCGAAACAATTACATTATTGAGGATCTGAACCACTCATGGGGTACCCCCTTGAAAACTTGTTTGGGTGCTGTTTTTTTAATAAGGGTTTATGCATTTTCAATGGTTTTAACATGGATATGGTTTTCTACAGTAAATGGACCAGCTTTACCTAAAAACATGTGTATAAAGGTGGATAAAGCTCGTCCTAGAAAAATTGGATCTGAAAAATAAAGTCTCACAATAGAGGCTCCCCCCCACAATCACCAAGATACTCAATTAGGAAGCAGAAAATTCTCGCCATAGGGTATCATGACACTAATCGGAGGCTAACATTATATATAGATATATAGTTGAATATGAATATGAAGATACAATATAATCAGATGTCATCAGTACTACATTTCAAAATCATATGAAAGATATTGTATGATACAATCACCAAGAGGACTTCTATATCTTCTATTTCTATGTTGATCTAGTCATCAACCAGCCTTTAAATTCATTGATCATATTTGGATTTTTTGCTGGTGAGAACCTTTTAGTCACAAAATTCGATGACAGGAGATTTGACCAGAATTTTCCAGAAATGGTGCTGTAAAAACCATGGGTTTCCTGGAGATATTCCCTGAAACATCCGAAAAAACCTATTCGTCGATATGGAGGTTTCCTGAAATTGGGGTACCTCTAAATCATCCATTTTGGACGGATGTTCCATAAATAGTTGGTTTATAATCATTATAAACCAACTATTTTTGGGGAGTCCCCATTTATGGAACCCCCATATACAAATCCTATGACTCTGCAGGAGGCGCGGCAACGAGGAGGTTCGGCCTCTTCAGCTCTCCATCAAGCGCAAGAGGTACGACTCGCCGGGCCCACCAGATGGATCCGTGGTGAAGGGTAGCTTAAGTTAGCTTAAGAGCCTTTATTTTTGCACGTTTGTCATACGAGGGGGTGAAATGCCGAATAATATTGTGGATGTGTTGGGCATGTTGTGGTATGGCAATTTTGATGTGGAACAACAAATACAGAACCATTTGCTTTATGGACCATGTCATAGTTCGAAATCACCTTCGTGATGGCGGTAGAGAGATAGAGACTACTGTATATAGTTTGCATCAAGGTTGTGCCCTTTGTGAATCTACATTTTCCATCATTTTCCAAGGGTACCATGCTTTTCTGACCCATTTCTTGGCTAGAAAAACCTATGAAAAACCAGCAAAAACCTGGCATTTGAGGCCTTGAACCACCTGATCAGGCTCGAGGTCGATGAGGCCGCTTCGCTGCTTGGGGAAGTGGAGGAAAATAGGGCAACATGCTGGGATTTGACATTGATTTAACCATATTTTTAACCATCCAAAAAATGGATATACCATGATATACCAACATGACTATGGAAAATCACAATGTTCAATAGGTAAAACATGGTAAAACAACTATAAATGGCCATTTTCAATAGCAAACTGTTAGTTTATCAAAGGGCATTGATGGCGTCCAGGCTGTGGTGGCTCTTGCTGCCCCAAACTCGGAGAAGGCGCAGATGGCCTGCCAACTTGCTGGGAAGAAAGGTTGGCGCCTCAAGCCAGGAAACAAATATGTAGCTAAATGATGTTGAATAAATATATATATATGTAATTAAATATTATAGAATAGTATAGAATACTATAGAATGATATATGTTAGAATGATATTTGTATATATATATGCATGTATGTAACCATAAGTTAATTAACCATATATAGATATAGAACCGTATAACCGTATATCGCATATAAAACCATATATCGCATGTATATGTATATATATATATATATCTATATCTCTATCTATCTTTGGTTTGGGATGTTTTTGCTAAGTGCCGGCTGAATCTTTGAGGCTTGGTGATGGCTCTGCTGCCGCAGTTGGGGACCTTGGGGACCTTGGGAGCCATTCCAACTGCCACAGCTGCGACGTGATGGTTTCGAGGCTGTCGGCACTAGCGCCCTCTGGAGATCCAGAGGTACGAAAGTTGGTGCGAGAAGTATTGCAGGACATGGCAGCATCTTGCAGCTTTGGTGCTTAGGTCATCTCAGATCTTTGATTCAGAGTGCCAAATTCTGGAAATAACATTCATGCCAACATACACTCATGCCAGATGAATATCTCAGAAAACAACACTGCAGGAACTCGCGGCCCATCTCCAACTTACATAGAAATAAGATTCCAAGAGAAAATCAAACTATGCATGACTATGCTACAAATGACGTTCTTGAGGATTGGGATGATGGTCCCAATAAAATGAGTACAAGATTTCGGATTTCAAAAGATTGAATGAAATCAGGACAACCAAATACTTTCGCACTCTGATCAGACGAACATTCCAGGTCGTCTTTATTTATATGGTACCCCCCAAAAAAATAAAAAAGAACTACCTGTTTACTACAGTACGTTCATTGGAATTTACGGTATTTTGCAATATGTTGGGTATTGTTGGGTAATATGTTAGAGGCCTATTTTAGGAATTTATGGCAGTAGTTTCAAGAGGAGTACCGTATGTATATATATATACACAGCTATTCAATATACACATATACACATAATTGGGGGTACCATAGATATAGACAAACTTGTGTGTGAGACATGACGGTTCTGACATCAAGAGGTCTTAGGAGGTCCTAGGACCTCTTAGTCCTTCCTGCTTTCAGACTATGTCTTAAGTATACTTTACGTGCATGTTGGGCTAGTATGTCGATTTGAAAAGGTTGAGCTGTTTCAAGTGGAACTTACGTTTGTGAGGTTTTGATTATGCATTATTCCCAAACAGTGCCAAAAACCATTGAACAAATCGGACACCATGTCATCTACTCAGCCACCTCTCATGGACATCAGCCAGGTGTTTTGTCGGTTTTCTCCTGGTTTGAGCACCCTCCCAGAAAGTTACTTAAAACCATGGGAAGAAATACAGCATAAGCACGACTTGAAAATAGAATAAACAAACAAGTTTCAGCATGGACTTTGAAATTTGTTTTCAGAACCAACATCCTCCAATATGTGCCTTGAATATAAAGTGATTTTCAAAGCGACTTACAGCTATGCAAAGTTCTTTCAACGAGGTATGGAAAGGGATCTATGGAAGGAGGACGGCATTGCATATTTCAGAACGGAATCCTTTGAGCACTCATTTTTACCGATTATGGCATTCCTTAAAAAAATGTTGTTGCAAGTATGGACAAAATTTCCTTCACAAGAGAAATCAAGAGAATAAATCATTTGATTGATTTATTACGAAATAAAATCCTTGGATATATGTAATATATTATTGAAAAAAAAAAATATAAATTATAATTATATAAATAGAATATATGTTCCATATAAATGAAATATCTGAATAAAATAAATAATATATTAAATAAATGAAAATTATTTTTTTATATATAAATATATTAAAAAATAAAAATAAATAAATT